TTCCTTTCATATTACTGTTAATGCTACTAATAGGTTTGGTATGTCTGTTATATGTGTTGGGTCTATCCTACCGTCTGCTATGTCTACTGTCTCTATTCCATCAGTCTTACATCTTCCTCAATTATCTACTAGCTTATTATTAATCAGTCAGCTTGATGCCTCCGATTTTGATGTTATCTTTTATTCTCTCTCGAATGTCCAAGAAGTAGATTGGGATTGGTCGTAGAGTTAGAGACCTCTATGTGGTGGAGGAGCTTGCATTTGCTTATGACTACCTCTCCAGTTGCCTTGTCCTCTTTTCAGTTAGATTCTTTGTCAAGTTCTTTCAATTTGTGGCATTCAAGATTAGGACATTTATCTGCTGACTGCTTACGACCTTTGGCCCAGTATGGTATATTGGATAAAGTTTCTCCCAGCCAACTTACCAAGTGTTGGGGGTGTAAACTTGCCAAAATGACAGCCTTACCTTTCCGTAAAAGTACTTCTATATCTGATACACCGTTTTCTTTAATTCATACTGATGTCTAGGGCCCTTCTCTTATTCTCACCAAGGGGGGTTCTGCATACTATGTGTCATTTGTTGATGACTACACCCGTTATACTTGGGTTTATCTTATGACTCATAAGTCCTATTTCTATCAGATATACCGTACCTTTCAGCTTATGATTACTACTCAGTTTGGGTCTACAATTAAAGTGCTACAGTCTGACTTGTGTGCTCCGTCTTCACTGTTTGAAGGAGTGTCAGGTTGGCCTTCTCTCTCTAGGTCGAGTTCGATGTGACCCTTCTTTGGATTTCTCTGGTTCGTGATCATCAGACCTCTCTCTCTGGTCTATGCCTCTGTTTTTGTTTTAGTCGAAGAAGTAGGTTGCCCTAGGAACCAGGTCGTTGGTTGTTGCATCATCTCTCTCTCACTGTCGTTGCTGTTCGGAGCCTTAGGAATCTCCGTCGTTGATCTCTGTCTCTGCTTTAGTCTCTCTCTCTCTCTCTCTCTCTCTCTATTTTCGAACGGTTCGGTTAGCGGATTATAAATTTTAAAATATATCAAGTAAGTAAGTAGTCTCATGGTAAGAGTGCTATAAATAAAACATACACACAATTGAGAAGCGAAGAAGAAAGAAGCTCATCTAGTACTCCTCCGCACCAAGCCAAGCAAACAAGTGTTAGAAATGCATGATCCTAGATGCAAAGGAGACTAATGCAACACTCACAAAATGCAACTGAAGACATGGCTACTAAACATGGCATGTGAACCATCTCAAAACATGGGGTAGAGCACATAATCACGTAAGAGATACAAAATAATAGATAAGAAAAATGAGCCAAGTCTTATGCTTGAAAAATTGATGCAAAACATGAAAAATGATGAATAAAGAAAACATGATGCCAAGATATGGAAAGGTATAAAAAAAAAAAGGAGATAGAGAGAGAAAGAGATAAACATGAATATATCTAAACTAAAAGAAAGCAAGATGACAAGAGTAGAAGCTAACTACACATGCAAGGCTACCAAGATGAAAAATATGAAGCTACCAAGCAAAAGAAGCCAAGAAATAAGATAATGGAAAGGAAAACAAGCCAAAGTGCTTCTCTAACATAAGAATGTAAGAGAGAACCAATAATTCTCTTGTAATGCCACTAGAAGCTAGACATGATGAGTTCATCCTCAATCATTATGAATAATGAGAGAATTGAACCCATCAAAGTCATAGAAGCTTCACAGTGAACATGGTAGAGAATCTCATTGTCAATCCAACGGTCCGACATGACCCCATAAACTGTCTTCTACATCGGTCTGACACCGCCATCCAGTGTCCTCTACACCGTTATGACACCCCTATACAGTGTCCTCTACAACGTTATGACACCACTATCCAGTGTCTTCACCAATGGTCTGACACGACCATACAGTGTCTCTTATCCTCTTTTATTTTTATGTATTTTCTTGTTTTGTTACTCTCTCCAAACTCAAGTTGGTTAGTTCCTATCCCCCTTGAGTTTGCGGGGGGCTGTTAAAATCCACCTACTCTCCACCTACTTCACCCACTTAAACCTACTCCACTACCTAACCCACTACACCACTACCACCTCACCTACTCCACTAAACCTAACCCACTACACCACTACCACCTCCACTTCACCTACTCCTTACCTACTACACACTCACCCTCTTCTATATATAGGAATCATGAATCATTGTAATATATATCAATATACATCAATCAATAATATACATCAATTTATCTTACACAAACTTTTATATGCCTAATTTGAAAGTATCAATCCTCTATAATTTCCATCACAGTTAGAGATACAATAATGTGTCTTGAATTCTATAGTAGCTCACTTGTTGTATTTACATATATCTTCGCTCTCGATCAACAAGTAGGCTCTGTGGTCAGCGTAATCCAACCATGAATAATAGACACACTCAAGCTCTGGCCATCTTGCATGCTATCAACATGTACGACATTGTATAATCTCCTGTCTTCTTGATTTTTGTATTTCCAGGTAGCTGCTGAGCAAGATTTTCCATGGGAACTTGGCTCCACTGTTATTGGACATGTATGACTTTAGTCTTGAGTTCCAAAAGCCAAGAGAACCAAGCTTGTTTTTCGAGAATTGCAAGGATTCAACTGACTCTTCGTTGGTCATCTCAACCAGAGGGCAATCATCTAAGTTTTGGGTGGGTTTGTTTGTCCTGTTTTATGTGTTTTGTTTTGATTTTGCTTCTAGCAGGGTAGTGGTGCGTTGCGGTGTGTTGCTTTCATTTTTTAGGATTTTGTCTCCTATACTAGACTTAGGTGGTGTTTTTCTTTCGATCTCTCTATTCCTATGGTTCACTTGTGATTGCTTTGTATATGAAATGAAGTTCATGAATCACACCTATGATATTTAACAAGCAGTCAAGGTTGGAACCAATTTGCATAAGATGGATAATTCCTTGATCATTTCATAAACTCTTTCCTCCTTCCACTCATTCTCTTGAATAAACAAAGAAATGCTAAATCCTAAACCTCAAAAAGGGTTTTTAGTTTATAATTTGATCTTCAATTTGCAGCAGTGTCGGCATGGTGCTGGGGCTTGAGCTTTTGCTCTGTTTCCTCTGTTCTGCTTCTTTTTTGTGTAGCCATATTGAAACCTCTCCAATTCTGGTTTTCTGGTTTGTTGTGGGATTGCTCTTGATTGATCATGCATAGGGTGCCAACATAGTTGGGATGCTATGTTTTTGATAATGATGCAGTGTTTGTTCCCACTTTTTGTAAGTTTCTTGATCTACTTTTGATTAATAAAATCTTTGCTTTTGGCTGATCAAAAAAAAAAAAAAAAAAAAGGCTTTCAGTTGCAAAAAAATATCAATTCAAACACATTGTAAAACATCCTCACCATACAGAAACATTTACTAGAAAGTCAATTGCAAGCATCCAAATCATTCCTTCAACATTGATTCTGCAAAAGCTTTAAGCCTTTTGCCTGGCCCAATCTCTAGACATCAGTCTCAAACATGTAGGTCTTAACACACAAAGCAAACTGATACAAATGAACTCATAACCATTCACATGACCACTTTTGTCAACAAAGAAGTGTTGTTGAATTGTTACCAGAAAAATAAGCAAAGTCAAGATATCTTGACTTGCTTAAGAAGTTTATTGTATTTAAGATGAACATTTTAGAAAATACACACAAACAAATTCTAAATTCACAGACAACATATTAGCTATTTTAATTGACCTTTTTATCTTTTTAGCTATTTTAACTTGGCTAAAATAGTTGTGTGTGGGAAGTTGGTTGGTAGTTCACACACACACACAGCTCTCATATTTAGAGAGAGAAAGTAGTCTTGAGAGAGAGAGAGAGTAAGACATGAAATTTTCAGTGTGCAGCTATGCACTTGTGGCTGTGGTGGTGATTGTGGGAAATAGTGGGATTTCAAATTCATTCTGCATGTTATGTGGTGTTCCTCCAGATCCAACAGATGGATTCACCAATGTGCCATTGACAAAGTATAACTTTGATTTGCAAAAACCATATGATATTCCACTTGAAGAGCGATACAGTTATGATGTTCCACTTGATTTTTGTGTCAATGTTTCCTGTTCTTCGGGTAGTCTGCACGTGTTAATGAATCAGATTCATAGGAATTCAACCCGATCCAATTCAATTAGGCATCCAAAATATGATTAATTTTTATATCAGATATTAATTGGGTCGGACTAGACGGATTCAGCTTTAATCAGGTTTAGGATGAAACCCAAATTATTGATAAGCCTAATTTCGTGGAATCAACAGAATCATAGAAGAATTGTAGTGATTTCATTACTACAAATTCTGCTTTTACACGTTTCCACTACATTAGACACCTATTTATCAGTTCAATCTTTCACACAGGGCCTTGACTATTCATCTGGAGTCTGGCAATTCAAAGGCTATGGTTTTGTCCCAAACTCAACCTTCGGTGCTACAATTGTGCAGATCCATGGCGCGACCAATTACACCACAACTATCAAACTGAGGATGTACAATGGGGACATGAGGTACTACAGTGGTGATCTTGTGGATACAGACTTGTATGATAAATGGTTCAGGGTTAACTTAATCCATGATGTGGATAAAAGAAATCTCACAGTTTTCATTGATGGTGTGAAAAGTTTGAAACAAAAGATAGAGGTGCTGGAGACTTTTATTTCAAATGTGGTGTGTATGCTGCACCAGCAAATATAAGCTATTACATGGAGTCAAGGTGGAGAGACATCAAAATATACAAGAAGTCATGTTAGATAGAGCAGTGCTTGGTTTACTAAAATGAAGGTTAGAATAGAGTGGTCATTATGTTGGAATACCCATTCTCTTGTTTTGTTCGGTAAAATAGTAGGGAATGTGCGTTTTGAATGGAATCACCATTCACCAATTTTAGGAAATGGTTATTCGATTAGGAGATCAAGGAATAGTTATTTTATTCTTGTTCAAAATCATTCCAGTAAACCAAACAATAATTTAAGAAGTATCGATCAATGTTGCTTAGTTTTGAGTGATATGAGATTGTTAGAAAGGTCTTGTAATGAAGTTGTTATTTAGTTTTGTTCTATGAATTCACTATAACTAGAACTAGTAGCAACCAATTGCTCCGCAAAAATGTGCTTAAATCCCTCAAGAGAGGAGAGAGACACCCCTCAATGCAATGCCGATAGCCTCTTATAGAGGTCGGACTTCATCCTTTTTACAAAATTATTCATCCTGCAAAAGCAAATACATTCTGTCAAACTAAATAAAGTTGTAAGAAACAAAATACTGAAGTTCAAAAGATAAGATATGCGTTGATGCTACTCCATGTTTTGGCTGAGATTGCTGTATGTGCTCTTTTAAAATAAAGTAAAAAATGTCTTGCTCTCCTACTTACTGTAGCAATCAAACAGGTTGTCAATATTGTATACTTCATTCTTGTGTTCTACGTATACATGATCGATTTCATTATCCATCACATTATTCTTCAAGTTCAAGATTTTCATGTATGTAGTTGTTTTCCTCAATTCATTCTTCAAGTTCAAGGTCTTGTAATGAAGGTGAGTAATGTATCTCATATTATCAATGACTACAAAATTCTACATTTTATTCTATGTGAAAGCTTCAACACAAACTATAGACTAAGATTGGGAAAAGATGTCTGCCCTCAATACAAAATTATTCAAAATTTAAAGACAAATACATTCTGCCAAATTAAAGCAGGTCACACAAATAAAATTGAAAGAAACAAAACACACTAAAGTTTAAAAGATAAAATAGACTTTGATGCTATGTGTTTATTGAGACTGTTCTATGTGCTTTCTAAATTGAAGATGATGTCACTTTTTTTTTGCATATAATTACATCCCATGACAATTAACCCTCAAACTAATGTTGTAATTAGAGGTGACAAATTCAACTCGAAAACCATGAACCTATTCTATTACATCCATTTAAAATCTGTGTAAACTGTCCAAATTCATAAATGGACTTAAATAGGTTGCATCTTGCAAATCTAATTAAAATTGAGTTTAAATGGGTTTAATATCCATTTAAACTCTTTTAAACTGATACCACCAATACCATACCACAACCACCACCACCATCGCTGCCATCGAAGCACCAAATAAGCAGGTTGGTTAGGTTCATTTGTCAAATCCATATCCATATCCAATTCAACCTAACTCTCTTAAATTTGGGTTAAATTGTTTTAAATACATAACCCATTTTGACCTGATCCAAATTTGCCCATTTTGACACCTCTAGTTGCAGCACAACCAGCATGTCTTTTATCATAAGAAGGCAAAATTTTACAGCATTAAGAAAAATTTCATCTGTATAACTGCCGAATCACTTAGTTGCAATGTGGACAACGCCATATTCGCATGCTGTTATTTTCAGAAACATTGGCCCTCACCAAAAGCTAAAGTTTCCCAACAAAATAATGAATCAAATTCTGAACTTGTTAATCACTGATGTAAAGTGCAACAAGGAGAAGCAGGTGAAAATGAAGTTATTGCGGAAGAAAGTAAATATGATATTTGCATTGATTTTTGCAACGAAACTAAGCACTTTTTTGTCTTTTGTAATTCGAAAAGCTCAGTTCGAGACTCTAACTTCAATGATGGAAACAACCGCCGACGCACTATGGCAATCCATTAAACTCTGTTCTTCAACTTACTAATATTTAGAATAGTGGTCGAGTTTTGAAGAGGTATATTCGTAATTTAATGTTTTGTTCACACGGTAATATTTTGTCTTTCCAAGAGAAAACAATTCATGTATGATATCAAAAGTTTCGTTCCGGAATGGTATCCCCTCTGATTTGCTGGGGAAAATTTGACAAAAGATTGGCACAAAATAATAACAATAATAATTCACCTAAGACTCACTTTAAAATCCAAGGGTAGTAATCAAGCTTGGATAAGTATAACAGTAGCAATCTGATTGTTAGAATAGAAGAAAGAGAGGAAATAATATGTATTGTAATCAATGAATTGATCTTATATAATAAAAGGCCTATATATATATGCTGAGAAAGAGTATACTACTAGAAACCTAATTATGAAAAAGAGTATAAACCTAATTATGACAATACAAATATATCTAGAAAATCAATACCTAATAAATCTAGCAATATATGCCATATATAATATTAACATCCCCCTCAAACTCAAGACGATAAACATCTCGAGTTTGGAGAGAGAAACTAAAACATGAAATAAAACTAAAAAAATAAAATAAGGGGCAAATAGATTGCAAAGTCTGAACGGGAGCTCAAGGGCGCTTGAGATAGATCAGAGGCTGGAACTAATGTTGGGAGACAGTTTATGGTCGTGTTGGACCATTGTAGGAACTGGCCAAAACTAATGTCGCGACAGTTTAAGGTCATGCCGGACCGTTATAGAAACTGACTGAAATTAATGCCAAGAGAGTTTAAGGTCATGCCAAACCGTTGTAGAAATTGGCCAGAATTAATGCCGAGACAGTTTAAGGTCGTGCTAGACCGATGTAGAAGAATTGGATGTTGAACTAGCAAGCATGACACTCACATAACTTATGACGTGGTGTTGAATGATGATGGCAACATATGACTGAGTACGGCAGGGAGCGGCTTGGATGGTGCGCAAGGGGCGGCTTGGATGGTGTGCAAGGAGCGGCTTAGGTTGTGCGCCAGAGAGGGTGGCTTGGATGGTGCGCAAGGAGCGGCTTAGGTTGTGCGCTAGAGAGGGCGGCTTGGATTGTGCGTCAGAGAGGGCGACTTAGGTTGTTCACATAGTATATCACCATGCTCACCATGATATAGGTATAATACCCCTCTCAAACTCAAATAGGTTTGAAAACCTACCCCCCTCAAACTCAAATAGGTTTGAAAACCTATTTGAGGTTGAAGTAGAGGGAAAGCAAAAGCACACACGCACGCGCGCACACACACACACACACAAAAAGATTGCAAGTAAAAAAAATATGATAGAGATATTTGGGGTAGTAATAAATTAGCAGATAGAGGAAGAGATCACCATGAAGCGATACTAAAAGGAAAATATTGCAGTGGAATGGTTTGAGGTCCAGCGGGCGGCCAAGGCAAGGTTGCCGCCTGCCAGTAAGGCAAAAAACACAAAGAGTTTAACCTATAACTCTGATACCATGTTAGAATAGTAGAGAGGCGTGTAATACAGATGAAGAGTCTCCCTGCCTATCAAGAACAATTTTGAATTCTTATACTCACGCAAGGCCATGCCCATCAAGAATAGAGCTGCAAAAGAGTTGAGTCGAGCAACGGATTGTTTCAGTTTAATTTGAAAACTTAATAAGTTTTAAAATTGTTCAAAGTTTGGCTTGTTTACATAATAAACCAATCTTAAATGAATTTTTAATGAGTTAAACATGAATCAAGCTTAAATAGTTTGGCTTTTTATGATACATATATGCTTATTGAGCCGAGTGGTATGTTGTTCAAATTTTGTTTAAAAATTTAAAGAGTTTGAAAATATATTTGAATTTGACTTATCTATATAATGAGCTAATCTCAAACGAATTAAACACGAGTTGAAGTCAACTAACTTTGTTCGTTTTGTAGCACTAATCAAAAACAAATTCATAAAGGCCTGCCAAAGGAAAAGCAATGCAATTGACTAGTAAATTGAACTTTTTCTAGTGTGCGGGCCTCGTTTGGAAATAAGCTTTTTTAGTAATTTTTTGATTTTTTGGCTAAAATATAATGTAAAAAAATATTAATATGTTTGGAATGACTTTTTTATTTTTTATGAAAAGATGTACAAAAAATAGAAAGAAAAGAAAATCTTTGACTTTTTAATATATGTTGTTGGCTTTTTGATATTTTTAGTGACTTTTGACTTTTATGCTAAAAAGTAATATTGTCAAACGAAGTCATTTTGGCATTACTAACAAGCATAAAAGAGGTCACATTTTCAAAGACATTTTAGAGAATCCTAGTCCTTCACTAAAACTGCACGAAAGACATTCATGTCTGCAAATCTCAAGACAAAGTTTTAACATTTTTTAATTGGGTACAAGATTTGTTGGTGAGGTCCACTTCTCAAAAATCATGTTATTTTCTTGTTCTGTTTGGTTTAAAAAAACAAAAAACTTTTTGAGTATTTAAGTTCAAAACATTTTGGTTATTTGGTTTTCAACTTTTTTTATTAAAGAAAAAATAATTTTAATTAACAGGATCTACTTTGTTTGACAAATACTTAAAAAGTCACTTTCATTTCAAGCTTTCTGCCTTCAGTGAATAATTTTTTTTTTAATTTTCATTAAAAAAATACTTTTCAAGTCCTTTTAGTCTAGAAGACAAAAAGAAAAATGAAAAAATCACTAAAGACAATTCTAATCCCCAGCTAAACTTTCTTAATAATAAAAGCAAATTTTTTTAGCATTTGACAAACGCATGGACTTTTTCAACTACCATATCCTACAAAACAGTAAAAAAGTGAAAATAAATAAACAAACTACTTGAAAAACATTTTCCAAAACCAAGCCTCTATGTCCGATTTTCTATTTAATTTATGTGTTACTAGACTTATTGTGACTTGCTACAACAAAGCTGTTGTGCCTAAAACTCATAAACCGTTGGTGAAAATACCAGAAAAAATTATATTTTATTGATAAATGATACAAAGAAAATGAGATACAAATAGATCAGGCTAAGGCACGGATATCTCGTTTTCTTTAAGGAGATCAAGCCCACTGCGGTAGAAAGAATCCAAATACCGATGCAGCAGTCACAAAACTATGACTTGTCCCCTCCAGGATACAACAGTCCGACCACTTGTCGTATGGTTCAGGCCAACTCTGCACTGCACAAGATGGTGAACCAAAGCTCTACCAAGAAAAACACCATTCCTTGCTAGTAATCTCTTTTGTATAGAAAATAGTTGGTGTGTATTTTTTTGGTGTAGAAAATAGTAGACGAGAGAGACTATTTATAGGCCATTAAGACCTTACAAGTTACACCAAAATAATGACCATTAACTAAGAAAAAATGGTTACACCAAAATAATGACCG